CACTCACCTCAGCCTCCCAAAGGCGCGGGATTACAGGCTGAGCCATCGAGCCCAGCAAGAAAGAAATTTTTAAGAATGTTGAGAAGGGTTCAGAGAGAGAAGGCGGGTAATGAGCCTGTTAGAAAAGACTATAAGGCCGGGTGCAGTGGCTCAGGCCAGAAATCCCAGCACTTTTGGAGACTGAGGTGGGAGGATTGCTTGAGCCCAGGACTTCAAGATCAGTCTAGGCAACATAGCAAGGCCTCATCTCTACAAAAAACCGACAATTTAGCCAGGTATGGTGGTGTGCACATGCAGTCCCAGCTACTGGGGAGACAGAGGTGGAAGGATCGTCTGAACCCAAGAAGTCAAGGCTGCTGTGAGCTGTGATCATGCCGCTGCACTCCAGCCTGGGCAATAGAGTGAGATACAGACTCAAAAAAAAAAAAAAAAGAGAGAGAGAAATCGGTGGCTCAGCCTGTAATCCCGTGCCTTTGGGAGGCTGAGGTGAGTGGATTGCCTGAGCTCGCGGGTTTGAGACCCGCCTGGGCAACGAGACCTCATCTCTACAATAAATCAAAAAATCAGCCGGGCGTGGTAGCGCATTCCTGTAATTCCGGCCACTCGGAAGGCTGAGGCGGAAGGATCACCGGAGCCCAGAAGGTCGAGGCTGTGGTGGCCAGGAGCAGCCACTGCACTCTAGTCTGGGCGACAGAGTGAGACTCCAACTCAAAAAAAAAAAAAAAAAAAAAAGACAATAACTACAAGATCATAGAAAACAAAGAGGAATTCCCTAATACCACTATCAAAGCCATCAGAGATTGAATGATTATTTTTGCAAAATAAAAATACGTATTTGTGTAAAAGATGAATATAGGGTAACATCATGTGCTAATCTGAGTGCTTTGAAATCAATGAAAACCGATGGAATTGGCTCTCCTAATTTCCTACTCTGGTATTGCCTTTTCCTGTGTTCTGCTGATTCACTAAAATATGAACCCATGGAATGTATGACAAAAGGCATCATGGTAGGAGTGAAAAAATGAAAAACTGGCAGTGCTCTGCAGGTCCTGCCAAAACACTTCCAGTTGATTGAAGGATGTGACATGTCATCCCTGTAGCTCAGAAGACTGTAAGAGGGGTGACCCGTTTG